GACAGACCCGTCCCCACCGGTACTGTACCCCAGTGTTATACAGTGACAGACCTGTCCTCACGAGTATTGTACCCCAATGTTACTCAGTTACAGACCTGTCCCCATCAGTACTGTAACCCAGTGTTATAAAGGTCATCAACCTGAAATATTAACTCTGCTCCTATTTTACTGACATTGTCAAATGCGTTAAGTAGTTGTAGAGCCATACAGAAACAGGCCCTTTGGCCCACCATGTCTGTGCTGACCAACAAACACCAATCTACACTAATCCCACTTACTTGGTCCGTGGCCTACTTTGCCCTGACATTTTAAGTGCTCATTCACATGCTACTTCAATGTTGTGAGAGTACCTGCCCCCACTACCCTTTCAGGCAGCACGTTCCGTATTTCTACCACCCTGTGGGTGAAAAGATTTTCCTCTGATTTCCTCTAAACCACTTACCAATCAGTTTTAAACTTAGGCCGTCTGGTCTTAGACACAAAGATTCTCGATCAACCTGGTGTATGCCTCTCATAATTTTGTACACCTCCATTCCCCTTTCAGCTTCCTCTGCTCCAAGGATTATAAACCTAGCCTATCCAGTCGATCCTCATTACTGAGATTTTTCATCCCAGGCAACATCCTGCTGAATCTCCTCTGCACACTCTCCAGTGTAAAAACGTCCTTCCAATAGTGTGGCGACCAGAACGGCACACGGTATTCCCCCTGTGGCCTAAGCAATGTTTTATAAAATTGTAACAAGACTTCCCCGCTCCTTTATTCTATGCCCAGCATTTTCTGCTTTTATTTCAGCGTTCATAAATCTGATTCTGAGTTGGCCTCAGGTGAATTTCAAAACCGCAACTGCCTCTGTTGATGTGGAGGCCACTCAGACCGATTGTGCCATCCTGTTCCTGTGCTATGCTACTCCTGAGATTTCATAGGGATTCAGCATTCCACTTTGCCTTTCCCATTCTTAACCTCTTGCTGTAATTCTGAGTGTTCTGTTTGGTTAGAAGTCAGGCGACACCGGGTTATAGTCCAACAGGTTATTTGAAATCACAAGCTTTGTAAGCACTGTCCCTTCGTCAGGTGAAGTACAAAGAGGCACACAGGCACAGAATTTATAGCAGAGAGATCAAAAGATTGAGGCAGAATAAATTGGATTATAGGTCATCCCTTCACTTGCTATTCAGCTGTTGACACACTTTTGATCACCTGCACAGACTTACTATTCAAACTGTCGATAATCCACTCATAACATTCATATGATCTTTTGATCTCTCTGCTATAAATTCTGTGCCTATGTGCCTCTCTGCACTTCACCTTACAAAGGGGCTGTGCTCCAAAAGCTTGTGATTTCAAATAAACCTGGTGTCATGTGATTTCTGACCTTGTCCACCCCAGTCTAACACCGGCACCTCCACATCAGATCTTCCAGTTGATTGCAGTTTTTAAATCTCACCATTCTGAATGCCTAAATATCTTTGCTCTTCCACATTATCCAGCCATCCCTCCATGAAAAGGACACTTATTACTTTTGAATAAAGTGGTACCACATCACACCGAATAAATTCTAACTACCTTTCCCATCTCACCGTCCTATCAGAGTCTCTCTGCAGCAGCTTGTAGCTCTCTTACTCTGTTCCCAGTTGGATGATCTGGTTTGCACACCATCTGACCCAGATTGTAATTGGCCACACACACAAATCTGGCACAGGACTGAACACTGTACAACATCCATCTCTCTCTCTCACTCACACTCTCCCTCACCAATGCTCGCTAGGTCAGAAACTGTGATAGAGCAAGGCCCCTCTCTAATGGCCTCCAGCATGAAAAGCTCGACTTCCTCAATCTCATACCTGTCTCCATTTGTCCAGACTGGCTGGGCTGGAATGGGAGGTACTTGAAGAGCTTGATATCAGGAAATGGGAGAAATCCAGCAAACAGAGGCATCACTTCCATGTGCACTTTGTGAGTGGCACGGGCTGCAACTGGCATGGAAATTACTCCCGAGCTCTTACCACACACTGCCCAGTTACTGCTGTTGTCGACAACTGCAAAGGAAAATAGGCATTTTAAAGTTCTACTGAGCTGGAATAACCAACACCACTGCACTTCGTCACCAGAAGTCATGTTGACAACGCCCAAATCATTTCATAACAATATTTCTGCTGTAAATTCCATGTAAAGCTCCCTTTACTGTCCCAGGACAGGGCCAGCATGCAGATCGACACAGAATAAAGCTCCCTTTACACTGTCCCCATCAAATCAAACACTCCCAGGACAGGGACAGAACAGGGTTAGATACAGAGTAAAGCTCCCACCGCACTGTCCCCATCAAACACTCCTAGGACAGGGACAACATGGGGTTAGATATAGAGTAAAGTTCTCTCTACACTCTCTAGAGGTGAGAGAGCCAATCAGCTCCTGTTGAATTTGGGAGTAGTGTGAAATGTTGAGTCCCCCTCTGATTACACTGACAGCAACTGCCAGATGGGGTTTATTTTATTTCAAATACTGTAGCATATAGGTTCAAATAAGAGACAATTGAAAATGCAGAGACTTAGAGAGTCAACAGGGCTGGATCATGCTGAAACACCTTACCTTCATACATCAGCTTGGTGGTACAATACCCATCACAGTCCACCAAAGATTCATCCTTATCCACCTCGGTGAGGTCAGACAGACGCACAATCGACACTTCCAGATTGCACAGGGTTCCTGTTTTACACATCTCAGCTCCCAGAGGTGGGAAGATTTCAGCTTTAACATCATACAATGTCTAAGGAGAAGGAGAGAGCACAGTTACGGCACAGTGGAGGCTCAGGGTGTTACAGCACAGAACAGGATCATAGTGGGAGGTGGTTTGTCTCGTGTCCACAGACCAGGACTGAGGGGCTACTGACGGACATTATCATTTCACCTCCATCCCCCACAATCGGAGCTAAGGAAACCTTCGAATCAAAGGGAAATATTGGGAAAATCTCCGATTGTCTGAGACTTTCATTAAACAATACTCATCTTGGTCTGTACAGTTCCTCAATGTGCAGTGATTTAGAACCCAGGCTCATCCCTTACCCACAACCTCCTGAAGTCCCAGATTGTGTGATTTGGTTCAAAGACTTACACAGAAATTGTCCAGTTTAAGCTCGTAGGTGAACGGTTTAATCAAGCCCGGTTCCTGGCCTGTTAGCGGTGTGAAGGCCACACTGAATTGGCAGTGAAGAGAGGTTCCCGGATCCTGGCTCCACTTTAACTCCCACAGGAAGAACATGGCCTGTTTGCTGTAAATGTGCTGATACAATAAAACAGAGCAGATGTTGATCACGTTTCTTCAGCCAGAGGGTGGTGAATCTGTGGAACTTATTGCCTCTGAGGGCTGTGGAGGCCAAGTCATTGAGTTCATTTAAGACAGAGATAGATAGGTTCTTGACTGGTAAGGGGATCAAGGTTTATGGGGGGGAAGGCAGGAGAATGGGTTTAAGAAACATATCAGTCATGATCAAGTGGCAGAGCACACTCGATGGGCCAAATGGCCTAATTCTGCACCTGTATCTTCTACATCCAACACCAGAGAAGGCCAACATTCAGAATAAAAACTGAAAGTGACGGTGAAACTCAGAAACTCAGATCATCTGTGGTTCTGAAGAAGGGTCACTAGACTCGAAGCATTAACTCTGTTTCTCTATCCACAGATGCTGCAGACCTGCTGAGTTTCTCCAACATTCTCTGTGTTGCTTCAGATCTCCAACATCCGCAGGATTTTCTTTGCCAACATTAACACAAAATCAAACGAACAGGAGCAGTAGGCCATTCAGCCCCTCGAGACTGCTGCTCCATTCAGTGAGATCACAGCTGCCCCTTCCCACATTCTCTCTATCTCCCCTGATATCATTAGTTTCCAGAACCTGATTGATTTCTGTCTTGAATTTGCTCTGTGACTGAAATTCTCAACCATAGAGGGGCACTGGGGGAAGCTGAAAGATTCACCAGTCTCTCCCCACACACAGCTCAGCACCTTATTCATGCAACAGGATGGGCCTGAAAGGAGGTAAAGTCCTGGACCTACGAGTACCCAGTGCAGAAGACTCATGCAGTGACAGGGACACAACAACAGGGCAGCAACTCAAGTGTCACAAATATTGCTCAGTTCTCGGTGTGATCCTTCAGTACAGAAGCTCAGTTCCATCTCCCTCCATTCACGCAGAGCTCAGAAATCTATTGGTCTCAGCTTGGAATATACTCACCACCTCAGCATTTCTCTGGGGCAGAGAAAATCACAAAATCTCAACATCCAGAGTGAAGAAACAGCTCCTCACCATCACTGTGGAATGGCCAGCTGCTTCTTCCTAGTCTGGGAGCCCATGTTTAACACTCTGCAGAGAGTGAAACTAGCCTCTCTGTACTGACTCCCCCAGAACTGGGCACAGTTTAATTTAATCACTGCTCAAATCTCCAGGTAAAATAGGGCCATCCTCCTCAACAGCATTGATACTAAAGATCTGGACATGGAAACTTTTATTCAAACTCTTGGCTAGGAAAGGGACAGTGTGGGTAAAAGGCAATCAGCTATAGTCACATTAAATGACGGAATAGGCACAATGGGCTGAATGGCCTACTCCTACGTGATGCTGCATTTTGGAAAGGCAAATCAGGGCAGGACTTATACACTTAATGGTAAGGTCCTGGGAGTGTTGCTGAACAGAGACCTTGCCGTGCAGGTTCATAGTTCCTTGAAAGTGGAGTCCCAGGTAGACAGGGCAATGAAGATAGTATTTGGTATGCCTACCTTTTTTGGTCAGTGCATTGAGTATAGGAGTTGGGAGGTCATGTTGCAGCTGTACAGGACATTGGTTAGGCCATTTTTGGAATACTGCGGGCAGTTGTGGTCTCCCTCCTATAGGAAGGATGTTGTGAAACTAGAAAAGGTTCAGAAAAGATTGACAAGGCTGTTGCCAGGGTTGAACGGTTTGAGCTATAGGGAGGGGCTGAATAGGCAGGGGCCATTTTCCCTGGAGTGTCGGAGGCTGAGGGGTGACCTTATAGAGGTTTATAGGATCACGAGGGGCATGAATATGGTGAATAACCAAGGTCTTATCCCCAGGGGGGGGGGGGGGGGGGGGGGGGGGGGTGGGGAGAGTCCAAAACTAGAGGGCATAGGTTTAGGATGAGACGGGAAAGATTTAAAAGGGATTAAAAGATTAAAAGGGCAACGTTTCACAGAGAGGGTAGTGCAAGTGGAGGCTGGTACAATTACAACATTTAAAAGGCATCTGGATGGGTATATGAACAGGAAGCGTTTAGAGGGATATGGACCAAATGCTGGTAAATGGGACTAGATTAATTACAGAAAGTTGGACGGTATGGATGAGTTAGACCAAAGGGTCTGTTTCCGTGCTACACAGCTGTATGATTCTACATTCCTACCTTAACCTTGCCCCATCCCTAGCCCCCTCATTGAGTAATGAACTGGCCTGGTGGAGGATCACTGAACCTCTCCATTAGACATGCTGCTGCAGAACCTTCAGTGTCCAGTGCCCAGTGCCCTCAGTGACCACCGGGCTGGGCTCAAGTGGATTCAACCCATCCACTAGTCCAGCCTCTCTCAGAATGCACTGTATCAGAGCAGTGAGAATGTGAGAAGCGGCTCAGAGCATTAGACACAGGGACTGACAGTACAGATTGGGCATGGCCAGGAAATCACGAACTACCCACCAATCACTGATAGTGAATCAGTAACTAGAGATCCATCACTGGTTTGTGAGCCTGTAACTAGCGACCATCACTGTCAGTGAATCAGTAACTAGTGACCGATCACTACTTCGTGTTTATGATCTCAGCTGATGGCGATACTGGAGAGGATACAGCCTGGAGCAAATCAATAGTTACAATGTGGTTACTATGGCGCTGAGTCACTGAACATACTCACATGAGGCTACTAATGTCCCCTTAGCAAAAGAACATCAACATTATAGATGCAAGGGGGAAAAATAACAAACTATCTGAAATGGACTAATTATAAATATCAGAAATGAACCTCCAACCTTTTAACTATTTCCACTGACGGGTCACTATTTCCACTGACCAGTTCTGTTTTCCGTTGGCACAGCTGGACCTAGTTTCTATCCAGAAACACACACACTGTATTATTTCTTTGGGGAATGATGGCTTTCTGTAAATCGCCATCTTGATATGGTGGAGAGGTCTGAGTGTTCTGTTGATTCTGAGAGCAATGCCATGAGGAGATTGAAGATATTGGTGTGACATCAAGGCTGCAGCAGTTGGGAGATCACTGTCATCAAGGTTCTCTTGCCATTGGAACAGGATCGTGCTTCTTTCAAGAACCATGTGTCTGCTGATGTGCAACAGCAACTCCATGTTAAAAAATATTCCACACAGGGGGTCTACCTAGAGAGGTTCAGCCCTCACATAAACATAACACAGAACTGTGGTGATTGCAGAGAGGTGATGGGGACAGGATTGAGAGATCTGGAAGTCCCTAGCTCCAGATCGGCACATAGGCAGTGGAGATTGACTCAGCAGTTTCCCTCTTGGAACTGGAACAGGTGGCGGCCTTGGCAGCTTCCATCACGACTGAGTAACCCTCTTCAGGATCTACTCTGCTCAGCCCACACGGGATAGGGGCGAGAAAAGGTGCCCCAAAAAATAGTTTGTTCCATCACTAACCAAGCTGGAGAACCACAGCCAGCAGCTCAGCTACCTGCGGTCTGAAAACCAAAGTCAAATTCAATCTCACAATGTACGAACTCTCATGGACAATGAGCAAAACTATCATTCAGAACAAAGAGCTGCCCTTGCTGCCCAGGAACTCCAACATTGATATTACTGCCCGGCAGTAGACTTGAACAGCAGGCGATGAGCAGCTGAGAGAAGAAGGTGGTGGTTACACCTTCTCTGGGAGAGGAAAACCAAAAGATCAACCTTGGACCCAGGGAACTGGATTTGCTATCAAGAATGAGCTTATTAACTGACTCTCAGACACCCCTGTTGGCAGGAACAATCATCTCGTGACTCTCCATCACAACCTGTGAGGAACCAGCCTGCAATGGTGATAAAGTGCCCTTACTCCAATCCTTGATGTCATTGATGAGTCCAAAGAAGGCTTCTCCTCCATGCTGCACACCAACATCCCTAAGCAAGAAAAAGTTATCCTCCTTGGAGGCTTTAACACCAGGGTTGGAAAGGAGGCCCAACTCTGGAAAGGAACTACTGGATCAGGAGTCAGGAATTGTCACTCCAGCTGGATTTTGTGGCTCACTGCAGAACACTAGTTGGTCATGACAGTTCCACCAAAAAGGCCTCTTGGAGGCATCCACAATCAAAGGACTGGCATATGACCAACGACATCATCGATTCAAGACCTCAAGGATGTCCTCATTACCAAAGCAGTGACCAGTGCAGATGACTGCTGGAGTGACCACCAGCTCATCCGCTCCTCAATGTCCATCAAATGCCACCAGAAGCAGCTGCAGACAAAGAAACTGTTCAGAAAAAGGCACAACGTTGAGCAACTTCAAGAGTGGAGCAGACTACTGTCCATTCAACAAAGTCTTCACCAAAATCTCCAAACAGTTCATTTTAATGGAGTGGAGGAAACTGGAAAGAGCTGAAGACAGCCATTCTCTCATGTTGTGAAGAAATTGGCTACAAGATCTGAAAACACCAAGACCAGTTTGACAAGAATGACCACCTCATCCAAGACGTCATTGACAACAAGTGAAAAGCTCTCCATGGACAGCAGGACAGTGAAGCACAGAGGAGAACTCAACAAACAGTAAAGGTGGAATTACAAAGAACAACACGGGAAATCAAAAACCAATGGTGGACCGAGAAAGCTAAGGAGCTGCAACTCCCTGCTGACACTCAGGGGTCCTTCAGTGCCACCTCGGCAATGTACAGACCCAACACCCTTGGCCTTAAAACTGGTGTGGAGTAAAAATTAGATTAGATTAGATATTATTGTCACATGTAGCCGTGTACAAGAGTACGGGAGTACAGTGAAAAGTGTAGAGAGTCACCACTCTCTGGCACCATCTTAGAATACAATAGTTAGAGTTTGAGAGAGACAGGGAGAACCACAGCCTCTGATGGACAGATTGCTTCAGAGAACTCATAAACCGGGCTACAGTCGTCAATGAGAACCTCTTTTAGGAAATGCCCTAACTCCCCCCTCAATGATGATCTTGGAGTGCCACCTAATGTGGCAGAAATTGAAGCCACCATTAAACGTGAAGAATGGAAAAGCAGCAGAAGTTGACAGGATTCCAGAGGAAATTTTTAAATGTGGAGAAGCAGAGCTTGTCGGTCATCTCCATCAACAGGTCCTGAAAATCTGGGACAAAGAAGAAATCCCCACCGGTCTCAGGGATGCTGCCATCACCACTTGTCTTCAAGAAAGGAGACAAAGTGGACTGTGGGAACTACCAAGAAGCCTCTCTACTCTCCATTAGTGGGATGATCATGGCCTGAATAGTCACTAGGCGCTATCTCCGAGTCTCAGAGGAAATCCTTCCTGAAAGTCACTTGGCTTCCAACCAAACTGTGGAACTACTGACATGATTTTTACTGCTCAGCAACTCCAAGAGAAATGCCGGGAACAACACGTCAGTCAGTCTACATGGTCTTCATTGACCTGACCAAGGCTTTTGACTCAGTCAGTAAGTGCTATCAAAAGCCAGCTGTCCAGTAAATTCAACAACATTCTCCGTCTCTTCCACAACAAGGTATCAATGATGATTCTCACTGACAGAAATATGACAGAATTCTTCAAGATCAAGATGGGGTCAAGCAGAGATGTGTCAGTATCCCCACCCTTTTCTCCATCTTCATTGCCACCATTCTTCATCTTGTCAAGTACAAGTTTCCCAGTGGTGTGGGCATTATCCACAGGATAGGCAGAAAACTTTTCAACCTCAACCGGTTGAAATCTAACAAAAAAAACGACACTGGCCTGGCATGTGAAACTTCACTACGTGGCTGACAATGTCACCTCTGCTCTCCGAGAGGAGAATCCTCAAGTCTCACTGAATGCCTTCACAGAAGCATACAGAAAAATTGGTCTCAGCCTCAAGAAGACTGAAATCTTTTATCTGTCCCAGGGCAAGTTTTGGTTCATCCCTCCATTAAGATCAACGGTGAAGTCCTGACTAATATGGAACATTTCCCTTACTTGGTAAGATACCTCTCATCTAAGGCTGACATCAATGTGGAGATTCAATGTCATATCCAATCTGTTGCCTACGGATACCCAAGGAGGAGAGTCGTCAATGTCCATAACTCCTGTGCTGATACCAAGATCCGTGTGTGTAAGGCAGCATCCTTCCGACTCTTCTATATGGCTCGGAAACTTGAACGGTGAGTAGACACCACCTCAAGGCCCTGGAGAAGTCCCATCAATCTTGTTGATAACAGATTCTCTGCATCAGTTGGAAGGACAGCCATACTAACATCAGGGTCCTTGAGGCAGTGAACAGTACCAGTACCGAGTCCATGATCATCTGAAACCAACTCCGCTGGGCTGGCCTCATGTTAGGATCCCTGCGTTCTAACTTCCAAAGTAAATCATCTTCACCCAGTTCAGGGCAGGCACTCAAATGAGAGGACGACAAAGTAATAGTTTCAAAAACTCCCTGAAAGCTTCCCTCTAGAAATGGAACATGGATGTCAACACATGGGAGATCCTCGCTCAGATGAAACTGACTTGGAGGAAGCTCCTGTACGAAAGGACGTAATTCTTTGAAAATACCCAGCGGCAAGAGGAAGTACAGAAAAGGAGCCAGAGAAAGGAATGCCAGGGATCACAAGGCCAAGGACCAATTCCACCTCCCGGAAACACCTGCCAAACGTTTAGTTGGAGGAACGGGCTCATCACCACACAAGGTCCCACAGAACCCAAGAGCAGTGGCACGGAATTTCCTCAGTGAATAATCGGACTCGTTAGTGAGTGATTGCCACTGCTGAGTTAATGAAGAAATAAAGTTAAATAAATTAAAATGTTATAATGGATAGAAAGGATACAAACAGATAAAGCACAATAGCCCATATCGTGGAAAATTACCACATACCACATAGCACAGATATCCGAGAGCAGGAAATGTAAGACACAAAGAGTGACCTTTTCCCCTTTGATGAAGGAGAAGCAGGCTCAAGTGTGTAATGTGCTGACATAAGGTGCAATTGAGCACATAGGACTCCCAAAGAGAGTGGGATCTTCTCATTGTTTCACGTCAGAACTCAAAACCCTGTCAGTACCCGTCAATAAACCTTTTGTAGAGGATCAGGACAGTGACCACAGTCACCCTCAGGTCAGATTTGTGAAGTCAGGGGTCAGATTTGCACCCTCTGAGCAATCAGGACATTCCATGCCATTTACTGAGAGCTAATTAGAAATTTTGGCACTTAGACTATAATGTTCAGAAAATATGTTAATTCTTCTTGCTTTCAGGAAGCATGGATTTAGTTTTGAATAAGGAAGTTTATATTTTGTTTTAAGATTGTGCAGCCTGTTTTAAACATTTAGTTAGGAGTTAGACCATGTGACATACCAAGGTTAGGTGATAGAGTTAATCATCCACCCAGAATGCAGCTTGTAACTGTGATTTGTAGATAAAAGTTACAACTATTTGTAACTCAGTGGGAGTCTTTGACCTGCTCCCCACATACACATGAATAAACCACTTGTATCGTGGACTTGGATTGCTAATTGTTGAATCTGTTATTTAGCACTGCCCATTTAACTCCGGAGAACCTGAAACCATCTGCAAACACAGCTCATTAACTTCAAAACATGGAGTACTTAAACTCCTCTTCTTCTGCCTGTTGATTCTGGAATTTTGTCTTACTAACATTAAACCATTAATAACTTCTGTTCTCTTGCCATGACTGTTCTGCAGACTGATAAACTGCACTTTTTCTTTAAAGCAAGCTATTCCTCCCTGAATTACCTACTTCTATCTACATACTCAGAGCTTCTGGATGGTTCTAGATGCAGGTACAGTACAACATTTAAAAGACATTTAGACAAGTGCACGAAAAGGAAAGGTTTAGAGGGTTATGGACCAAATAGAGGTAAATGGGACTAGTTTGGGAAACCTGGTCGGCATGGATGAGTTGGACCAAAGGGTCTGTTTCTATGTTGTATGAATCTATGACTCTAAGAAGTCCTGTACCTGTCGCCCTATGTCATAAGACCCTTCATAGATATGCAACAGCCAAATTTCTTTCTCTCTCAGACCTTGTTTCTAAATTTTATTCAATTGCATGTAAATAAAATTCTAGACAATTGTGCACCAAGCACACAACTTACAAACAGAACTAAAACTTTAGCCATCCCTGCTTAACACACAAAGAGAAATGCAAACCAAACATAAACCCATATATAAGCTCAGAGTATGTAGACAGAAGTAGGTAATTCAGGGAGGAAAAGCCTGTAAAAGAAAGTGCAGTTTATCAGTCTGCAGAACAGTCAGGGCAAGAGAACAGAAGTTATTAATGGTTTAATGTTAGTAAGACAAAGTTCCAGAATCAACACTTCAGAACCCAAATTTCCAAATTTATATCAGTAACAATAAAACATCATGAACCTTCATCAAAAGTGAATCAGGAACTAGGGAAACTGATTGAGGGTTTTCACGAGTTAGTGAATCAGTAACTGGGGACACCATTGAGGATTACTACTAGTTAGTGAATCTATTGTTAGCGATATTGTTTGAGGATTATCACTGGTTAATGAATCAGCAACTGGGATACTGGTTGAGGTTACCACTGGAAGAATGAAGGTAGAGTTTGATGATGTTTTTAACACAATTATTGAAAGAGGCCTTGTTCCCTGAGGGTAATAGAGATACCACACTTCATTTTAAGGGCCATTGGATAAGAAGTACAATGGTTAGGAATGAATGTGGGAGAGGATCAAGACAATCGAAGTGGAGGTCACTGCTCCAGGTCAAACCTAGCCAGAGCAGGGATAGTAGACTGAATGGCCTCCTCCAGTGTTGAAATGACAATCAGGTTACAGACTTGGGACACTGAGAGAAGGAGGCTCTGTTTGGGTTCCGTGGAGGATGGGACTCGGCCCTTGGTAAATCAAACGCCCACATTATTCCACATCTTCTATCCAGGGACACATAGTGGGAAACCAGAGAGTTTCAACCTCAGTTAAAAAGGTAAATCTTCTTACAGTCTGTAGGAAACTTACCTGCTGTTTGAGACAATTCAGTGACACAAAGGTCAGGTCTGAGTACTTAGTGACTTCTTCCAGCTGAGGGTCAAATAACTGGAACCCAATTTCAGACAGGTTGTGAACACACACTTGCAGATACTTCCTACACAGTAAACGAGAGTGAGAGAGAGATGCATTGAGTAGAGGAGACCCATGGGAACAGATCAAACATTCAGCATATAGATAACAAGGTGTAGAGCTGGACGAACACAGCAGGCCAAGCAGCATCATAGGAGCAGGAAGGCTGACGTTTCGGGCCTAGACCCTTCATCATGTCCAGCAACACAAATTTGACTGTACTGAGTCTGTGTTGTTCCATTATATAACGATTCACAGCCCACTGAAAGGAAAAGATTTTCCTCATCTCTGCCTTAAATAAGTGATCCTCATTCTGAGATTATGTCCTCTGGTCCTAGACTCTCCCTCAAGGGGAAACCACTTTTTTACATCTAGTCCCCTAGAAATTTCTCCTCATTAGACAATCCCTCCCTACCTGGGACCAGCTGAGTGAACTGAACTTCTCTAGACTGCCTCTAATACTAGTATATCTTTTCTCAGATAAGGGGCCCAAAACTGGCCACAGAATGGGGTCCAGTGACCCTTCCTCAACTGTTCCCAGTTTTCCCAGGAATTTCTTGAATCCTAGCTTTTTTAATTCATGGACGATGACTCTCAAATCACTCTGTTCTGTAGCTTTCTGTGGTCTTTCTCCATTTAAATAATATTCAGCTCTTGTACTCTTCCTGCCAAAGTGCATAACCTTACATTTCCCCACATTATATTCCATCTGCCAAGTATTTACCTAATTGCTTCACCAGTCTATAAACCCTCTGCAGATTCTACGGTCCTCACCACTTATCTTCCCACCTACTTTTGTGTCATCCCCAAACTTGGATACAGTTCATTTACTTCCCTCATCCAAGTAGTTATTATATATTGTAAATAATTGTGACCCTAGCACTGATCCCTGTGGCAATCCACTAGTTACAGGTTGCCATCCTGATAATGCACCTCCCCCACCCACCCCCCACTTATCCCAACTCTGCATCCTGTGAGTTAGCCAGTCCTCTATCCATGTTAATTTACCAGCCCCAGCCCCGACTACAACTAATCCCCAATCTCTTCTACTCCCCTTCCCCACTCACACTCATTCCCGTCTTTGGGAAGGTTCATTAAGTGGGGGGGGCTTTACCTTCGGCCCGATGATAGAAGCGAGTGCTTAGCATTGAACGGAATGTTGAAGGTCAGGGAGACCAGGGAAGAGTAAATGGACCATGGGCAGTCGACGGTGATCTGCATTTCCAAAACAGAGAGCACACGTCAGCAGTTATCAACATGACCACAACCTAGGGACAGACCACCAAAGACAGCACATACTCCCGAACCCAACAGCCCCCTCCCCAAACTAACATACCCAAACTGACAAACCCCCACAAACCACCATCACCCCACTGCTGAGCCAACACTCTCCCCCACCCCACCCACCGCCCCCCCGACCCTCCCAAACCAAACTGACAGTCCCCTTTAAACCCACAATCCCCACCAAAACGTAAACCCTCCCTGAACTGACACCCACCCAATGTGAAACCCAACCCCCCCCCCCCCCCCCCCCCCCCACCACCCCACGACCAACAACCCATACCAGGTGGCAGTGGGGGAAATGGATGTTGAACATCAGGTTGGGGGAATGTGTAGGGAGTGACAGGAGGAGACTTCAGGCCTGACGTTATGGGAGGGGTTTGGGAGGAAGAATGCTAGAGATCCACTCCCCGGGCCAATGCCCAAGAACCCACTCCCCATCTCCTGCCCCAACACACACCCTCCCTTCCTTCCTTCACCCTGCCAGTTCCCCTGACAATATTCCATTCTCCATCCACCCTCCCCACACCCACAACCCCCACCACATGCCAAAACCACCCAGCCCCACACATACACTCCGAAACCCCACACATACACGTGCCCATACAGAGTCCCCTTACCACACACAGCCCCACTTCACACAGACACACACACACACACACACAAATCAACACAGCCACCCCTCCACCCCCATATAGTGATGTCTGCTCTTCTCCTCTCCCTCTGATTGACCTTCTGTTCAATGGAGGTCATACAAGGACCATCCACTTTAGTTTTCTCGAGTCCTTTGCGAATTGTCTTTATTTCGGCACTGGGTTTCTCGGAGTCTGGGGGGGTGGGCAGTGTGGATGGCAGGTGACAGATGACGCGTAATTCAAACTCTATCTGATGGTAGGCAGCAGCCAGTGGCAGAGATATACTGGTAATCTTTCCAGACGATTGGATGGATAACGGAGCCTCAGAGACTTTGTCTACACATAAAAAAAAAGTTCCTTTAAAACCAAATTATCACATGGTATGAGAGCTTGGAAATCTGCTCACCACCTTGCCATTTAAATTGTTAACACAACAACATGTACTCCCAGGAAACATATACAACACTGTCACAGCATAAAGCTCTCTCTACTCTGTCGCTATCAAACACTGCCAGGACAGGGGCAGCAGGGGGTTTGATCCAGAATAAAGCTCCCTCCACACAGTCCCCATCAAACATTCCCAAGACAGGCGTAAAGTCATGGTTCACTATTTCCACTCTCATGTTCTTAAAGTGTTTTATTGTTATTTAATATTCTGTTTGTTCCTTGTTGTTACAAATGGAATTGACACCAACAGTATATGGAGCTCAAAGCCTGATTGGGCAGCAAGCACACAGGTTTGGTCTGTTAGATATTGCCTGAGTATAACTCTGCCAGACAATGTCTCCCAGCTTCTCAATGATGCCCACTCTCTGAGGATTCGATCAGTGTCTCACTCACCCCCAGTATTGGTTGAGACTGTGGCAGTGCTGCTCGCTGAGTGCAGGATTGGCAGTGTGTCAGTGATACTGAGCTGCAGCGCGTCTCCATTCTTTACAGAGTAATGTCCTGTCTGGATGGTGAACTTCACTTGTTGAGAAATACCCGCTAGGAGGCTGTCTGAATAAAAAGAGAGACAGATAATTATTATGCAGCACAGGGGCATTCAACTCGAGCTGATTACAACAACTCCATGTGACGATCGCATCACCCTGGATTCACATGCAGCCCGTACATTCAAACAAGTCAGATGGTTGACAGCTCAAATCTCATTCAAGAGAAGACAGCACAAAATTCTGGTTGATTGCACGATGCAATATTGAAAGAATGCTGCAGTATCAGAGGGTCAGTACTGAGGGAGTACGTCTCTCTCAAGCGAATATTGACACCTTCCCTTTGTTCGAGTGAGAATGCTCTGCCCTTGGAGACCCCTCTCCCTGCAATGACCCTTCTCCCCAAAGAGCAGTCACAGTCAGACCAATGCAAGATATACAACAGCCTTTTCACACAGGGACTTGAGTCGAGTAAAGCTGTCTTGCTGCAGTTGTTTAGCGCCCTGGTGTGACTGCACCTGGAGTATGATGGACAGTTTTGGTTTCCTTATCAAATCCAGCGGAGGTTCGCCAAATCAATTCCTGGGATAGCAGGGCTGTCTGATGAGAAGAGGTTGAGAAAACTGGGTGTATGCTCTCTTTAGCCAGTCACAGGGCATGACAGGGTGGATAGAATACAGAACAGGCCCTTTGGCCCACTATGTTTGTGCTGACCATGATGTCACCCTAAACTAATTCCATCTACATGCACATGGTCCATACCCTTCTATTCCCTATCTTTTCATGAGTCTGTCTAAATGCCTCTTAAACTTCGCTAACATTTCTGCTTCCACTACCTCCCCTGGCAGTGTGTGTCAGGCTCCTACCACTGCCTGTGTAAAAAAAACTTGCCTCACACATTTCCTTTGAACTTTCTCCCTCTCACCTTAAACCTATGGTCCCCAGTACTTGACAATTCCACTCCAGGAAAAAAAAAACTCTAACTATGCACCCTGTCCATGCCTCTCAGAATTTTATACACTTTTATCGGGGCACCCCTCAGCCTCTGACACTCTAGCAAAAGCAAAGCAGGTTTGTCCGATCTCTCCTTATATCTAGTACTCTCCATTCCAGGCAACATTCTGGTAAACCTTTTCTGCATCTTCTCCAAATCCTCCACATCCATCCTATTGTATGGTGACCAGAACTGCACATAGTACTCCAAATGTGGCCTGACTCAAGTCTGGTACAGCTGCAACATGCCATTATTGGAATATGTCCAGTGGATGGAGTATTTGTAATCTGTGGGCAGAAATGGGCTAACTTTACCCTGAGATAAAGACTGAGACAAGAAGGAATTTCTTCACTCTGTGGTTGGTGGATCTTTGGGTTTCTTGGCCTCAGAGGAGCTGTGGAAGCTCAGTCAAGGAGCAGGTTCAAGACAGAGATCAACAGGTTGCTGCTCAGCTGTGACTGAGATGAATATCAGAGCAGGCTTGATGGCATGAATAGTCTACTCACATTCCTGTTTCAATTGAATTCGAAAGAACTCACCGGTCATTGGCTCTACTTTGAGCTGAGGTTCCTGAGAGTATGCTTCATATTGAATGATTGGATAGATGTGAGGAAGAGTGAACTGCACTATTCCCAGAGAGGCAGAGAGCTGGCGCAGGGTGTAAATCCCAGCTTCCTTAGCCTGAACAAAGAAATAACAATGAATGAGGCTACAACAAAACACAGCAACATCCTCCCAACTACGTAGTACTGCAACACTACCCGGTATATATCTGAAGGCTCTAAATCTCAGTGGGGTACAGGGTCCCACACACACACACACACTCACTGACTCTCGCTGGGGTACGGGGTCACACACACACACACACCCTCGCTGGGGCACGGGGCCACGCACCGACCCTCGCTGGGGCACGGGGCCACGCACCGACCCTCGCTGGGGCACG